GGTCCACAGTAATTTAAGACCGCAACAGGGTCTTGACAGCAAGACGTTTGAGAATTGCTGGGTTTCAGGAGACTGTGGTAACAAGCAACCCAAACATCCCAAAGGTTTACTTCTTCCTCACGCGCACGTCACCTCCGGCCAGCTAGCGATCTGCTCGGCCATGTCCGCAGGCCCCAGGCTGACAGACAGCCACCCTTGGGAACCACTGCAGTCACCGAGGCTGAGGGAGGAGCATGACACCCTGAGCGTGACACATGGCTTCCGCTCACATCACTGCCAGAACTAATCGCAGGGCCTCCTGGGACCACCCGACCGTGAGCTGGGCAAGCGAAGAACCAGTGAGGTTGGGTGGACACATGGACAGCTACGAGGGTGCCATCTCATCCGGCACGGAGGACCTACCAGAGCGAGTGAGCAACAACTTCATAGCTCAGACCCACACCCACCCAAGGAACAGCAAAGCCACCAGGATTTTTGCTGCTGACGCCTCTAATTTCAAGCTCAAACTTCCAGGCGGCATCTATATTGCTGCATTTCAGCAACAAAGTCCCCACAAACTATATTCAATTAGGTTTTGGGACGTTTGCCTAATTACAACAATTGAAGATTCGTTACTGTCCATATGTTCCACGACAATCAGACTGAAATAAGCTGCAGCAGCTAATAAAAACCTGTAATTTTTTTATGTGCTTGGTACGCACACAATTTAAAGGGGAAAAACAGACTTCGGCGCTGTGAGCAGCGAGCCTGGGCCCTGGAGCCGAGGAGCTGCTGCGAGGAGAAAGCGTGCGGAGGTGACCTGGCGTCACTGAGCGGGTCCGAGTGTCAATACGGAGACGAGGCCACCACTCGCCAGGCACTAACGCGCACCCCTGCGCTGGACCTGGACAAATGTCCTCCTGCACTTTGTGAAGGGTCCCGCCCAGTCTGAAGCTTCTCGCAGAACCCCGCGTGCAGACGCAGCCCTGCCACCCCTGCCGCAGCTGCCCTGGTCACCGCACCTCACGGCTTGGCCTGCACGGCGACAGATCACCCCGGAGGCGGACTCGCCTCTGCGCCGGGCATGTGGTCGGGCCGCTCACCCTACCTGACCACCTCTGTAAGGAGCTTCCAAGTAGAACAGAAATTCAGGGGGGGCTAACCCAGGTCTAGGGTAAAACTCCAGCTGCTTAACTGCCAAAAGCAAAAACTACAAGAAACCCGAGGCAGCTGACACTGATTTACTCCCACAAGCGCCACTGCTGCTGCTCAACTAAAGGTGGCCAGCAGTGACCTTTCCCCCTGCAACAAGGACACAAGGGAGACAGCTCACATCTGGCCAACGGGGGAGGGACAGGCCCCGCAGGGAAGGCCAGCATGGACGCGGACTCGGACGGAGGCTCACGGGCCTGGCCCATCTGGGCTCCAGCATAAAGGATGTATTTGAATTTGCTCTCTTCCTCTTGTAACTGACTTTAAACAATTTTTAAAGGTGAACATTTAGATTGCTCCACACTGATACGTGATGAACTCCTTCCAGTAAGTTCCTCTAGGATGACTTGATGCCAGAATTGCAATGTGATCCTCAAGAACACAACATATTCCACATGCAAAACACACCTGGACCACAAGCAGATTACAGACTGGGCGTGGACATGTTTCCGCTAAAAACCCACACATAGTCCAGCTGGCATGGCTCAGTGGTTGAGCATCGACCTATGAACCAGAAGGCCACAGGTTTGATCCCCAATGTGAGACCTGCGGGAGGCAGCTGATCAATGATTCTCTCTTGTTATTGATGTTTCTACCTCTCTCCCCCTCTTCCTTCTTCTCTTAAAAAAAAAAAAATACACATGCACACTGAGTGGCCAGATTATTATGACCATCTGACGTTTGTAGGCAAATTAGCTATAATTTCGCGCTGAAGTTGCTAGAGGGCCAGACCATTATAACTAGGGAAGCAGGTTGTTTACCACGACAGAAGTGATTTTTTCCTGAAGATATGGATAAACAATGCAATTTAACAGCCTTTGAACATTATACACACACACACTGAGTGGCCAGATGATTATGACCACCCCATCAGTACTTCGTTGGGCCACCTTTTGCCTTCAATACTGTGGCGATTCTTCTTGGCACTGACTCCACGAGATGTTGAAAGGTGATGCGAGGAATCTGACACCTTGCCTGATGAATAGCACTGTCCAGTTCTGTGAGATTTGATGGTTGTGGAACCAGCTGTCTGATGGCTCTTTTAACTTCGTCCCACAAATGCTCAATTGGATTGAGATCTGGTGATTGTGGGGGCCACCTAAGCAAGGTCAAGTCTCCCTCATGTTCTTGAAACCACTCCTGCACAATACGAGCACCATGGGAGGGCGCATTGTCTTGTTGGAAGAAGCCATCTCCATTGGGATACCCCATCAACATGATAGGATGAACCTGATCAGCAACGATACTTAGGTATGTTGTGCTATTCAGACGTTGTTCCACACGAATTAAAGGGCCCAAATCATGCCAGGAAAACATGCCCCAAACCATAACACTGCCCCCACCAGCTTGAAGGGTTGTACTCATGCATGTGGGCTGCATGCTTTCATGCTGTTTCCGCCAAATTCTCACTCTGCCATCTGCATGATACAACTGGAAACGTGATTCATTGGACCACATGACTTTTTTCCAATGCTCGACTGTCCAATCCTTGTGTTCCTGTGTGAATTTGAGACGTTTTATCTTGGTAACTGCAGACAGCAAAGATGTTCGAACAGGCCTCGGCTTCCATATTCCATACGATGCAGTGTACGGCTAATTTGCCTGCAAACGTCAGGTGGTCATAATAATCGGGCCACTCAGAGTGTGTGTGTGTGTGTGTGTGTGTGTGTGTATGTGTGTGTATCTATATCACAAAAAACCCACACACGATTAACTACAGAAATGCTAATGGTGGGGAAGTAAGTTCTGGGCAGTGAGAAGGCAAAGAAAACCTCCCAGAGGCGGTGGGATCTAATGGGGATGCAGAAGGTGGGTTTTGACTTGCTGAGGTACCCAATACAGGCGGGGTATTTCAGCGGGACAAATGCCCTAAAGAAAGGAATATAAGCTCTGGCCGGTTTGGCTCAGTGGATAGAGCATCGGCCTACCGACCAAGGGGTTCTGGGTTCCATTCCAGTCAAGAGCACATGCCTTGCTTGCAGGCTCCTCTCTGGCCCAGGCCCTGGTCAGGGCTCGTGCAGGAGGCAACCAATTGATGTGTTTCTCTCACATCAGTGTTTCTCTCTGTCTTTTCCTCTCTCTTCCACTCCCCCTAAGAAAATGAAAAAATATCCTTGGGTGAGGACTACAAAAAAAAAGGAAGGAAGGAAGGAAGGGAGGGAGGGAGGGAGGGAGGGAGGGAGGGAGGGAAGGAGGGAGGGGGGAAGGAAATAGTAGTAAGTAGATAGGAAGCAGGCAAGAAATTAATGCACCTGCTCACTGGTTCAGTAGACATCAGTAAGTGCCACGCGGTGCTGGGGTTAACAGTGAGCCTTTTGACTCTCGGACCCCGTGGAGCTTCGTGGAAGAGGCAGAACATCACGAAACTGGCAGAGTATCCAACACCTAAGGCAGTGATGGCGAACCTTTTGAGCTCGGCGTGTCAGCATTTTGAAAAACCCTAACTTAACTCTGGTGCCGTGTCACATATCGAAATTTTTTGATATTTGCAACCATAGTAAAACAAAGACTTATATTTTTGATATTTATTTTATATATTTAAATGCCATTTAACAAAGAAAAATCAACCAAAAAAATGAGTTCGCGTGTCACCTCTGACACGCGTGTCACAGGTTCGCCATCACTGACCTAAGGTGTAGGGCCTTTAAAAAGGAGCCAAGGGTAGACCCTGGCCCAATAAACCACGGGGAGGCACACAGGTTTCTGGGTAGGAAAATAATATGATCAGGACACTTTGTTAATATGCATTTGGTACAGCTCAACTAAAATTGTCAAAAATCAAAACCAGAGACGGAAGAAAACTACAGCAGAAATGCAGGGTGGAGGGTGTGCAGGCTGGGCGGCAGCCTAGAAATCACAAAGGAAAAGAAGGGATGAGGGGCTGGAGGGAGGATTCCTGACTGGGTGACCCGTGGGACAGCCGAAAGGGACTCAATACGACACAGAGAAGAGAGCAAAGGGCATTCCAGCTTCTGGCTCGGACGCATGGGTCAGGGAGAAACGGGCGGCAGTCAGGCCTGGAGAAGGGAATGTGACCAAGCACAATGCCGAGGCAGATGGAGATGCTGCTGGGCCAAAGCACAGCTGAAAGGGAGCCTCGCTGGGGGAGGGGGGAGTGTGTGCAGCACTGAACCCTGGGAAATTCTGAGGAGGACAGAGAACGAGCCCCGGCCCCGCAAGGTGACGAGGAGGAGCGAGGAGCACCGGGAGCTGATCAGGACTTAAGGTTGCCCATGATGTCACAAGCGCATCTGTACAGACTGACAGAACTCTAAGCACTGACTGCTCCTCGTTCAGGACTAGTCATCGCAGTCTCAGGCTGGCATTGGAACCCCCATTTTACAGATGAAATAGTGAGGACCAAAAAGACTAAATGACTTGTCTGCGATGCAGGAGTTTACCTGATGAACCCCTGGCCCAGAAGCTGGCAAGAAATTAGTAACGTGTAGCCTGGCTCAAAGCGAACTTTGGTTCATAAAACAGATCGCTTTTGGAGAGTGAAAGGCAACCTACAGAGAGGGATCAGATATTTACAAAACCTCTCAGACAAAAGAATCCAAATTATACAAAAGAACTCCAACAAATCAATAAAAGCATTCCTTATAACTGTATGCTCATGATAGCAATAAAAATGTACTGGCATTTACTTTCCAGAATAATGTGCCCATTACTATGTTAAGCACTCTTGCTTAATTCTCCCAACAGCCCTCTGACAGTAAAATTATTGTCTGGCTTTGACAGATAAAGAAACAGGCCCAAAGAAGTTAAGTAACTAGCCCCAGACTAGGCTGCTACGAAGTCAAACTCACACGCGACTTCAAGGGCTTTGCTGTTTCAGTCATTGACGCCGTTCCCAGCTCCACGTGGAGGCCAGGGTCTTTGGCCTTTCCAGGGAATCACCCACACGGCTCACAGGCGCCCAGCACGCAAGGCCCTGGGCTAGTGCTCCTGCTGCCCCTTGCTGTGGTGAGTGTAAAGGTGGGGTGGACACTGCATCTCACAGGAGCCCAGCATGCAAGGCCCTGGGCTAGTGCTCCCGCTACCCCACGCTGTGGTGAGTGTAAGGGTGGGGTGGACACTGCATCTCAGTGTTCTGGAAGCTGGCCTCCTGCAGCCGTTTTCAGGCTCTTCCCTTTGGACAGGTGGGCTTAAGAGATAATCACATCATGAATAAGTCAGAAAACCAAAACAGGAGGTTGATCAAACAATTCCAGGTTTCTACAACCAGGAATAACCTTTGAACCTTAAGTTCCACTTCGAAGGAAAAAAATTACACAATTTACAGAATGCATTAACCCTCAAAATGTAACTAAGTTCAAAAAAGTACTAGGCTGCCCTGGCCGGTGTGGTCCAGTTGGTTGAGCGTCGTCCCACGCACGGAAGGGTCACAGGTTTGGTTCTGGCCTGGTTAGGGCACGTACAAGAGGCAACCGATCTGTTTCTTTCTCTCTCTCCCTTCCCCTCTCTCTAAAAATCAATGAACACGTCCTCGGGGGAGGATCAAAAACAACAAAAAAAGTATTAGGCAACTAGTAATGACAGAACTCTAAGCACTAAAAAAGTGTGACCTTTAAGGGTGATGGGGCAGAGGGTGACCCCTGTCCTCCAGTGCACGTCTCTGCTGACCATAGCATGTGAGCACGGATGGGCCAAGACCACAGAAATGCTGATTCCTGATCAGAGGTCATTCCAAGGGCCTAGGAAATATTTTCCTGCCACTGTACAATTTTGTTTTCATTTCTCTTCCTGGGCACGCCCATCTGTGTATCTGGTGCCCTTGAGACACAACAGTTAAAAAAAAAAGGCCAATGTCTTAGAGAAATGAGCTCCAGTTCCTTTCTGGGTCAAAATTAATGGTTTGGATCCTGTCTCCACATCCAGAGCCTGGCTGATTTTTCCCTGAGAGCCTGACCTTATACGTTCTCTCGTCCGTGTCCATCTGTTATACCCTGCCCACTCGTGCAGACTCCTTGTGGTTGATGTCTGTTGGCATTTTAATGCTGAGGAATGTTCTGGCTCCTGCAAGCCAGCGAGGGAACACTGTGCACTGGGCGCGTGCAAGCCCAGATCCAAACAGGATCCTCTCGTCTCGAAGGAGGTGTCACTTCAACCACGAGCTTCTTCAGGGGAGTGGGCCTGTATGGCGTGTGCCAGATAGTGGTAACAACAGCACTATTCCCAGGGGTCTTTTATTTTGTGTGTGTGGCCCTTTTAAACATTTATGCGATTTTATTTATTTATCTGTAAGTTGTTTTAAATCCTTTCTTAAACAAGGCAGGACATAAATAAAATACATAAGTAAAATGAAAAGAAAAGTTTAATAAAAAAGTAAACACGAAATTCCATAGCTGCACAAGACGTGCTGCTGGTATGCCCCATATTTCCTGACCCATTGCTTTATCACTGAATGCGTGGCAAACAGAAAAGCTTTCAATTGAATTCTCTTTAAGAAAGCAAAAGGGAAAAAAAAAAAGAAAGGTATTTGGGTAGATAATGCAGAACCAGAGCATTAAACTTTCAAGAGGCAATTGTTTGAAACGCCCAAAGCAGCAAAGTAATAACTAGCTATGGTTCATTAAAGAAAACACATTTTTAAATTTAACCCCACGATGTTTGCTGATCACATTATGAGATGTCAGCGGAACGAGCTGGGTCTCCTAACAGTTCCCTCCCACCTCGAGCATGACCACCAGGCGCCCCTCGGGACCGGGCCTGGCCCTCCTGACCAGCTCTGCTGTCTAGTCAGGACCTGGCCGCGCCTCTGCCTCCGGAGAGCCCTCCTCCCGCCCGCCCTGTTGGAGCTGATAGCGCCCACAGCTGTATCTTCGGTCCCACGCTGCCTGTTCGGACTATGCCTCACCCTACTCGCAGGCTCAGCCCAGCTTCTGGGAACCCCTTCCCGCACCCTCCAAGTCAAACTCATGACCCTGCAGGAAGCAGAGTTCAGAGAGATAACTGTCTTTCGAAGAAAAAACAGAACAAAACTGGTACTTTGAACACAAAGAGCAAAGAAAGCTTTGGGAAGTCATAGCCTACTGCTATCCCTAAGTTCTGGCACAAGGTTTTTTATTAGTACAACAGACGGGCAGCAAATTTAGCCGGGACAAAGCATACCACCGCTTTCTATTCACATGTGCGCCTTTTTAAAGTCAGCAGAATCTCATGCTTATCAGACTTCAAAAACTAACAGTAAGTACCATCTGAGCATCCGCTCCAGTCAGGCACTTTGTACATATCCTTACTCCACTGCAGTACTCCCAACGTCCGCCATCCCGGGCACAGTAAGTGCTCCTTAATACTTTATTAGACGGTAACTAACACTTCAATGTCAAAGAAAAGGCAAAAAGGTTAACCTGCTAGCCTAGAGGCACAAAACTCCCAGATCGGTAAAGGCGGGATGCACGCAGGCCTCGCTGCAGAGCCCCGTGTACTCGCAATAGCTCATGAAGGACAGCTGTGGCATTAAATGGAGACTTTGTGATGACTTGTTCAAGGTCACTCAAGTGTGGGCTACAACTCCTGCTCCTAATGACCCTGCTCCTCAGCCTTTTTTTTTTTTAACCCTCACCCAAGGATATTTTCCCATTGATTTTTAGAGAGAGTGGAAGAAAGAGGGAAAGACAGAGAGAAACACATCGATTGGCTGCCTCCTGCACACCCGGAATTGAACCTGGGACCCTTCGGTCCACAGGCCAACACCCTATCCACTGAGCCAAACCGCTAGTGCTCCTCGGCCTCTTTACTACACGACACCTTAGGAATGTGATCATCTGCGTGTTAGGTGTTTGGACAACCAGGGCTTACTTACCACTGCCTGCCCAATGCAGTTAACCAGGCTCATGGCTATAAATGTGGAACTTCTGAACATAATGTAGATGGGAAACTCCCCAAAGAATGACCTTCGCAGACCCATCTTTAAATGGCTCATGAAGACCCATCGTGAGGTTAGATAAGCCGTGAACGAATGAACACACAGCACCTCACTGCTTTAGAGGGACCTGCGTGTGCATAGGACTCGGCCGACCCCTTTGTACTCAATTTCTGAGATGGCCAACCCGTGCTGGCTGGGGGCGGGGGTGACCGTGAGAAATGGCTTTCCTCCCATCTGCAATCCAAGCTCAAATGTTTAGCCCCACTCTCTGGTGTGGGCTGAACTTGAGCATCCCAGACAACCAACCACCATGGGAAGAACAATGTATAGATCAGGGAAGGAAGGAACATGCAGGAATTTTGGGAAAATGTTTTATTGGTAGGTCATGATTCTAGTTTCATCACTGTTGTGGAAGGATGAAGATCCCAGAATACTGATCTCAAGAAAGAAAACCTTTTTAGGTTTATTTAACTGTGTTTTTATTGTTTAAAACTCGAAAAGGGATTGGCTCCTTTAAAGCTAACTTGACTGGGACCAAGATCTTAAAACTGGATATAAACACTGCTGAATGATGTGTAAAAATGAAATTCTTCCAAAGGCAATTCAACATTGATAAGTAGAAATTACCCATTATTTAGAAATAAATTAGGTTTAAAATGTATCAATTAAAATGTCTAAAAAACGTACAAAGATCCAAGTAATTTTACTCTGATTTATTGTTCAGGAACCCTCTCTCCAAATAAATTTTGGAAAATTCTCAGAAATCTCAGATGAGTTAGCTTTTAGGCACCGTGATGCCTCTGACCTGGCCTGTGTGCCCAGGTAATGAGAAATGACTCCTTCCCCTCAGCGTGCGGCAGGCAACGGCCACTCTGTAAACAAGAAATCCAGACCACGGAGAAAGGGATTCATTCAAGATCGCCTACGTCTTGTTCATGGCAGAACCTGGTGGTCCTGACTAGCTGCCTGCTTCACTCTCTGGACCATAATTGAGGGGATATTCTAAAGTTTAAAACCTGGGGTGAGTTTTTATTTTTAAGGGAAACTTTTTCTTTAAAATGTTTTTACTGATTTTTAGAAGGGAGAGGGACAGAGATAGAAATATCCATGAGAGAAACATCATCGCTCGGCTGCCTCTTGCATGCCCCTACTGGGGATCAAGCCTGCAATCCAGACCTGTGCCCTGACTGGGAATTGAACCAGTGATCTCTTGGTTCCTGGGTTGATGCTCAACCACTGAGCCACATCGGCCAGGCTTTTCTTCTTTTAAAAAAATTGGTTTTCATTCATTGATTTTAGAGAGAGGAAGGGAGGGAGGGAGAGAGGGGGAGAGAGGGAGATAGAAACACTGACCTGTTGTTCCACTTATCCATGCATTCTTTGGGTGTCTCTTGTATGTGCGCTGACAGGGGATCAAACCTGCAACCTTGACATACAGGGATGATGCTCTAACCAATGAGCTACTTGGCCAGGCTGAAGGAAGATTCTTAAGCTGATTTTTGAAATTTCTAATTACTCCAATTGTAACTATGTATTCGGATTCTAATTTTTACATATTTATTTATTTACCTACTTATTCTTTCTAATTTTTAGATTTTTAACTAGAATTCCCAGGTTGCTTCCATTTGAGTCTCCTAGGGAAGTCTCTGAACTTCCTGAGCACTGAGTGAACGTACTGAGATGTCCTGGTGGGAAGAGGACCTCACCTCCTACAGTTATACTTATGTGGCATCAAAAACTAACAGCAAACAAAACAGATGTTTTCCACTTCCAAGCACACATGTAAGAAATAAGATTGCTTCTATTTTTTCTCTAACTCTCCAACTAAATGTTGTTTTCACTTCAGGTTGCCTCTGATTTCACAAAAAGGTCCTAGTAAATGTCAAGTCCAGAGACCACCCTTCAGAGCGTATCCTACAGAATCAGGAGATAAAGTCGGCACAGCACACCTTTCACCTGGAGTTTGTTGGCAAAGGCCACACAAAA